CGTTTCAGGTTTGCTTTGGTGCAAGGTGTAGTCTCAGTCAAGACATTTCTTCATGTTTAGATAGTGGGCAAATTCCGCTCCAGGACAAACAGTACATGGCCAGTGGTGAGTTCAGCAACACTTTCTTGCTGTACCCACGCCGTTTAGCTTTGGAGCGGCTTCCAGTTGGCCTACCCGTAGGCCGATCCAGAGACCAGAGTTTACTTGATAGCAGAGTTTACTTGATTGAACTGTTTGTATTTCATAGTGTCCAAATGGCAGTTGAGTCGATTCACAATACTGATGCAATGCTTTTTAACCGAACCACAAACGGGACCATTTTTGGGGTTTGCTTCGGCGCAGGCTTGGCAAGCAAGCGTGAAATCGCAGCGGACATGGTGATCAACATTGAGAAGTATCTTCCTGCTCTTCGCGACCCTTTGTTCAGTTTGAACAAAGGGGCAGACTGGCCTGAAAATTGGGTTCGCGGGACTCTTCCGCGAGGAGATCTCTTGGATGTCTCAGCGTTCGGTTCTCAATTTGTGGATTGTGTTGGGGTCAATCGTAAATTTAGTGCCAAATGCAATGCGGCTTACACGTTGTATGAAGATTTTTTTTGCGAGGTGCATGATTACGACCGGGCCCAAACTGATTACTTCCCATGTCACTTCACCAACGCCCGATGCGTTTGCGATTGACCCGAATGTTCTCCGGCTTCTTGTCAACGCAAAGTGTGATTCTTCTCACTGCTGAGAGCCAACATCAGAATGATAGAAAGGGGGTTCCACTTGTCTAATGTGATGTTTTGGGCAACCTTTTTAAACTTTAACTTCATTGCCACTCGTGCCTTCACTGTGACAGGCTTGTCCGTGGTCATGGCGGCAAGGAAGTTGTGGCATCTTATGTCAAAAAAGCCCGCCGGCGGCTGATACATGAGACCGCTGCTGTTGCTTGGAGTTACGGAGTTCCGTGGGCAGAAGCGCTGAAAGCAGCTTCTATATCTGTTAGTGCTGGTAACGCGGCAGCGAAACCTTTGGCAGGGCAACCAAAGGGACGTGGAAAGGGCAAGAAGGGCAAGTGAGCCTTTCTGTTTGAAGCCCCTTGGATCCCCAGGGAGAAGGTTTGTAGATGTTTGTAGGCATGTTGAATCTTTTTGTCGGTATCCTAAACCCTAAACGTGTTGGTCCAAGCTAAAAAATTAGGTGCGGCAGCGTAGTTTAGACCCATCAGTTGTGAGATTGGGAAATCAGTCTCAAATTGAACCACTGTTTTGACTTCATGGTGGTGACGGTTCTTAGGTAAGATTGGTCACTCAATCACTGATTTACCTCAAACACTGGCAAATATCTTTCAAACAATCCATTGCACTTAGGAAAACAACAAGCCATTAGTGACCGATCTTACCTAGGATCAGTCACTTCTGGGCCCCAATTTCAAAGCTGGGCTGAGTGACGGATTTGACCACCCCCCCAGTGACGGATTTTGTTTTTGATTGAGTGACGGATTTCTTTTGACTAGCAGTGACGGATTTATATATATATAGATTATGTGTATCGCATACAGGTTTCTTTGGTATGGAACCAATTGTGGAGCCTTGTCACTAGTTTCCTCAGGGCTAAGCAACATTTTTACAAACACAGATTCAGTGAGATGCAAAGGAGTGACTGATTCTAGGTAGGATCCGTCACTACTCCATGTTGAAAATCCGTCACTACTCAATGTTGAGAATCCGTCACTACTCCATGTAAAAATCCGTCACTAATTTACATCCAGAATCCGTCACTACATCTCATTACTCTACAGTCAGAAGCCTCCAAATTCCAATGCTGCTGTCTTTGGGCTGGTGCTGGAATCCCATGTCATCAAAGAGATGTAGCCTGAAAAAACACAATCCATGGAGTCGAATGATCAATGATTATAGAGGGTCACCATCACCACCACAACACTCATAGCAATATAATACAATCATAATACTAAGCAATACAATATACAGTAATCATAATCATCATCGCCATCATCATCATCATCATCGTCGTCGTCGTCATCGTTAGCGTCATCGTCATCATCATCACCAGCTGGCCACTTGGATTGGCCGGCGAAAAAAGGACCCCCACAAGTCCGGTTCGACCGGCCTGAAATGATGGTTTTGAACTAGACATGTGGGGGTCTTTTTCACAGGTCAATCCAAGTGGAAAATTAGCATCACCAGAATTAACATCCTCATCATCATCGTCATCATCATCATCACCATCATCATCATCATCATCATCATTGTCATCGTCATCATCATCTCATGCTCACAAGTTCTGTTTGTGAGGACGATTGAAAGACCTGAACGGGTACTTACGTGTTATTAAAAAGAAATTACTCACAAATCTTTGAGACGACGCCAGCAAACTTCAAGTTGAAGCCCCAGGTGCAAATTAAATGTCGGCAGAAATAAAGGTTTCACTTTTTGGCCCCAACCATATCCCTGAACCTTGAATCCAATAAGTGAAAGTATCACTGGAAAATGAAGACTTGTTTTCTATGGAGAATAATCGTGGGGTGGTGAGCTTTGAAACATCGGATATTTTGTAGAGTTGTTCATTTTTTGGGAGCGCCTGGTAGCAAATCCCTCCCTGTGATCCTTCCCCCTTTTGGACGCAGTGTTGTTCACTGATGCGTGATTTGAGTTGCATGGAAGTCCTTGGCTGCGCAGCGCCTGTGAGCTGTAACGTAGCAACGTGATCTTGATTGAGCAACGCTGGTTAAAACAAAACGCGAGCTGTTCTTTGAATGCAGAGTATTCCAGTCATCGTAACTCTTACTGCACTGTAGGGTTCCTTAGAGTGAGGAGTCTTGCAGGTTTCGTCCATATTAAATGTTTGAATAGCTGTGAGGCTGCGAGGTCATTCAAGGCTTGGATTATTCAATCCAGTTGCACAATGAGCTTCGCTGCGCCGGAAACATACATGTTTTCAGCTAACTGGCACCGGCCCGTGTAGTGACGTGGGGCCATGCCCGCCAAGCGGAAATCGCTAGGGGGTTCTGGGCCTGAGCCCAAATCCAAGCACTCCAAAGCAAATGAGTTTCCGCATGTTCAGAAAATGACAGACTGGCTTCTTGGACTTCTGGTGTGATTCCTTTCTGTTTTCAGCAACATGTTTGAAACGTGGAAACGAGAGTGTGTGTTTCTCTGTGTGTGTTTCAGGGGAGAGTGAACATGTGTGAAGCAAAGGCTTTCGCAGACGGTGCTCCCAAAGGGTGGCCCAGACACTTACCTCAGTAGCATCTACGACACGCAGGATTGGGGTCCAGTAGCGTCTACACTTACCTTTTCCTTTTTCTTGCGTAAACATACATGTCATGAGCAATGATTGTCTCACTAAGTTGCTCCCAGGAGAAGATGTTGGAATTCGCGCGCTGGGTAGACCTATTTTGCCCAGCGAATGCTGAGCCGGGGGCCCACTACTTTGTTGGAGAAAGATTTGTGGAGTAAACCAATGAACACTGTGATTCGTGTGAGGCTCACTTACGCCACCGACTTCAAAGGTTCCACGTTTTTGCGACCCTTTATGTGTGCGTGGAGGGCCGACGCAGGCTGCTCGGGGTACTTTGAGCCGGACCAGGCCGCAATGATGATGGAGTTGATTGTCAGTGAAGGGTCACGGGGCCCAGTATGATACAGTATGAATACATTTTTTGCAAATATTGTTGTGAGTTCTGACCATTTCTGAGACCCATGAGTTTTTGTGGGGCTGTGACTGTGGCTTTCAAGTCTGAAATCATGCTCATTGTTGCCGCGCCTGACTGAGATTTCTGAGCGACCCAAACATCCCGGGATGCGAAAAAATTGCAGCGACGAAGATACCACCAGAATTCCTTGATTCCGAATATGCTGAACTTCCCTCGCTTTGTGGCGCTTTGGCCAAAGTTTGGCCTGGTAAACAGTTTGGGGGTTACAGAGCGTGGCCACGACTCAGCATAATAGAATTTGATTCATGTCATGTGAAACGGGTATTGTTACAAGCACAAAACTGCAAAGTAGCATCCAATTGGAAACGGCTGCAGGGCTTGCGCCGTGCTGAGGACATCTTCTTCCGCCGTTTAGCGTCGGCTACACGAAGGGGTGGAAACGTTGCACAATGTTGCTTTTGTGCCTTCAAGGGGTCCGTGAGCTTGGATTGGAAGATGAAATTGGACACTCTGTGAAGGCTAGCGGCCTGGTGTATTTCAACGGATTTTCCTTCAATGTTTATAAGATGCAGTGTTCGGTGCGCTAAAGGAACAAATGGTTTTCTTGTAGCTCAGCCATTGGCAGGCTTCGTGGGGAACCCTGCACGCCAGCTTTCAAGAGTACAAGGACATCAGATCGCAAGTTCACGCCAACCGAGGAGGGGTTGATCGGCCTTTTGTTTTCCGCTTATTCCTTTGGATGTATTGAATTGTTTGGTGCTCGTCACTTCACCCCAGGAGCAACTATGATCCAATCTCAGACTCGAGCCAGACCGAACGCTTTCCACTTCAGGCGACAGGTGATTATCTTACAAAGAAGTGGTGGGGGAATGCGGAACGACAGTTCCAGGAGACCCTGTAATCACTGATAAGCATGATGTTTGCGTGGTGTTTCATGTACTGAGCAAACTGATGTGTGTAGCGCGCGTGCATGACGCGTAGGAATGGTCTCAAGCAACAGCAGTGGCGAAGGCGTTCCAATTGGGCAAGCAAGAAGCTGCTGCAGTGTCTAACCTCATGGCCCGTGTGCCTAGTTGTGCAGTTGAGTTCTTGGCGCAAAGCGTCAAGTCGAGAGGAATGTGGAGGTACATTGCGCACGAGGTGATAGGCAAGGACCTGCTGAACGAGACATTCACTTCAGGGATCAACGGCTTCGAGCATTGGCGGGACCAGCTGCGTAACACCGAGGAACTTGCAACTAGCATAAATTCATACAAGTACTCCATTTTGTTTGCATTTTGTGCACTGTGCGCAACCAATTTCATGCTCGTCAACGGGTGGTTTGCTCCAAGAGTTTCCAGGTCATGCTCTTTGTGAACCGGCTTCAAACGGATCATGACGCTACGCCTCCTGCACTTCGCAAGGCGTGCTCATTCCCTCAAGCTCTGGCCAAACATCAGTGTTGCGCTGCATTTTTGCACTTTCTTCGGCTTCTGGAGCGGATGAGCCCACCTTCAGACTTTCTGGAAGCCCAGTCATCACTCCGCAGCCAGTTTGCTTCTGGCTTTCTCGACCCAGATCTCTTGCACGTGCTGGAACATGGCTTTCCTCCAGGCGATCCTTCCGCAGTGACCGCATTCAGGCTCATGGTTCCAAAGCTGTAGCAGCCACTGTGCGTTTGGTTCACGGTGTGACTGAAATGGTTCACTGTTCAAGCATGTGCGCTTCAAACGTAACTATGTCCCTTGCAGGCCTTTTGTTGCACAAATTCAGAAAGCTCAGCGAATCCAAAAAGATGCTCGAGACCAAGAGATTGAAAAGAACCTGCGACAAGCTGATGTACAGTCAGTGCTTGCGAAGCTTGAGTCTGACATCAAGACGCTGAAGGATCGGGCGCCAAGCGAGGCACAGGCTGCGTTCAAGCATGCCAAAGATCTCAAGTATGTGCAGGAGCGACAAAAGATTCTCGACAGCTCTCGGCTTTCTGGGCTATATTGTTTGCTTGTCAAATCAAATCACGCACGGGGACCAGCTTGTCACGGGTCGCATGACTCAAACGGTGTCGAGTGGCATTTGACCAAATGTTGACTTGCCAAGGAAAGGAGAGCAGTACGTGGACAAGTGGATGTCGGAGAACTGTGTGCTGCTCCAAGTTGACGACTCCTATGGGGGAGCCGTGAGTGGATTCCTGAAATTCAAGGAGCAGTTCAGGGGCCGGCCAGGTTCAGAGTTTCTTGTCGAGGAACCATGTTCTTAAATTGTGTCTTTGCCATTGTTGCCCAAACTTTGGAATAATTTGGTGATCGGTGCAAAGACTCCGCCAATACCTTTTTCTTGTCGCCTTAAAACCGGATTCCCTGCTGCATGGCTCAGGTATGTCATTGCAGGCTTCGATACGACGGTGTGGCCTGCGAACGCCAACCAAGTCAGCAATGCCACGCAAGTGCTTTGCACGCTTCTCTCCATGTCATCGACAAACATGGGCTTCATCCAATTTCCCATCATGCAGTCGCAAACGACACAGCAGGCCATGGTCAAACACCGTCATTTGCTTGACAATGCCTTTCTCAAAGGTTCATTGTCGCTGGGCCACACCGTGCAGATCCTTTATTCAAAGCCAGGAGCTACGGTCAGAGACACGCGAGCGATGAGCCAGCCGGCTTTGGCGACATTTCACAGCAACTACGTCGATCCAGCTTGGGTCGATTCGCTGGCCGTCAAAGAGGGCTTTGTGGGACCATGTCCTCTCATCAGGGTGTCGGATTTCCAGGGTTACGATGAGGATTCGAAACCAGGCGCAAGCGCTCGTGCTGAACAGAACCTCGACATCGGATTACTATTCTTTTGGGTTTAGGGTATGATTTTTAGTTTAGAGCAAGAGACACGGAACAGGGAGTGATTGTGGTAGGATACAAGTAACGGCAAGACTCAAGAGGCTCTCGCTTGATTTAGAGGACTGTAGGTGACTATTGTGTGAGTGAGAGCGTGACAAGTGATGTGTGTGTGTGTGCTGCTGCCAGGAAGGGAACAAAGTGTGCGGACGCGATCATTGCTGGCCTGTTGGACGGCATGCCACTTGGTGATACGGATCGCGTGTACTGGGTTGATGTGGTGCCCAATGAGTGCCTTGAAAGCATTTACAAAATTAGAACCAAACAATGATGCTGTAGTAGTTTTAAACCTGCAGCAGAGACCATCCAAAACATTAACTTTATATTGGAAAACCACATGTTTTGCCAGTGCTAGCTGTTTGGGCGAAAGAAAACGGAAAACACTACCGGCGAGCTGTGTGCATATTATATGTTTGTAGGATCTCTGGAGCGTGGCATTACTGAGCATTTAATACCTTCACTACCCTCCAAACTCAAAGCAGTCCAAGTTGACAGTTTGTGCAATGCCAACACATCAAAAATCTAAGTGTTTAGCAACTCATGAACAAGCACAAAGCCAATGCCAGTGGGATTGTTCAAAGGGATTTTGTATGACATTTGATGCAAATTGTAAAGTCTGAGGTATTGTGAATTTGGCCGGGCGTGCATTGAACGGACTTTGGGGGATGGGCGGAACGTGTTGTACACTGGCTTTGTCACGCAGAAGCAAATGGATCGCGCCACCAAGTCTTTCCGGAACTACGTCTACAGCTGCTGGGATGCGATGGCTACGTCCCCGCCCAGGGTCCGGCCTCAAGATGATTCAGAAGTTTTGCCTACGCCAGAGTTGCAAATCCTGGCGTGGGAGCATGACCACCCCGTGTGGCCACAGCCTTTGCTGACCCGATTCGAAGGTGGCACCGAGGAGCACAATCTTTTGATGGCAAAGAAAAAGGAGTTCGATACAGCTTTTCCAGCATCTGCCGAGAATGCGTCGCAGGCTGCAAACGAACCACGCGGGGTTGGGCGTGCCGGGGGCTTTTGCGACTTTAGTGTCGATGGTGGCGCAAGGCCGCTGGACATTGCCAGGGAGATTTCACTGCCTGCTGTTACCGACGCAGATATGGAAGCAGTGAAGAAGGGCAGGTGTGGTGGGCGCGGGGTATTTGCAACCAATGTAATGTGTTACGGATGGTACGTTACAGTTCATTGGTTCTTAGTTTGTTGTTTATAACTCTAGTCACTAGTTGGAGAATGGTTGCTGATTTTTCGTTCGTGCAGGATTGGATGGTCAGAGGGTAAATCTGGAAAGCCATCAATTCTCATTGCATCAAACCTCCAACTGTGGATCGGGAATCCCACGGACGAAGACACCAACTACGCGTCACAAGAACTCCTCGGATTCGGAGTTGGTGCTTTCGAGGAGAAGGTTGTGAGTGACTTGTACAGATTGATGAAGCAAATTTGTTTGTTGTTGATTTCTCCGAACCATGCCTTAATGGGCTTCATGCCTCATGCCATTACACCACCAACTTTTTTACTACTTGCCTTGTTGTGGCCGGGTTTGAATTTGTGTAGGCGACCCGGGTGCAGAGAGCAATGTGCTCCCGTTCTGCTTCAAGTCCGATTTGGACCTCATCAGCTACCAGAAGAAACCGCAAGCGCTATGCGCCTTTCTCCGATTCCTGGCCATCGAGAAGGGTTTGGGTGAGGTTCAGGTGGAAGATCACAATGTGACCCAGAAGTTTTTTCCTGCGACTTGGATTCAACATCCGAGTCAAATGGCCTAGCGATGTGCAAACTGTGGGTGAATGCAAGCTGTGAATATGGTCTTAGCTACAGGTTGTTTTTGTAAAGTCGTTCAATGCAAGGTGACCACTCCTGGTGCTGACGCTGTGCCGGTGACCTTTCGCTATGACGTTGCTGCCAAAGACTCCAAGGTGACCCATGTCTACAGGCCAAATCCGACCACGGCATCTCCCGTTGCCTCTCTCCGTCCGCAAGCGCTTGGGCAAGTGCGCCCTGACTGTCAATTAGAACCTTGCCTAGTACGATAGTACTAAGTGTTGCTTGCCTCTTTTGTTTGACCCTAGTTGGCATGGCTGTCAGTCTTTTCTTCATAAGGCTTCAAGGGAACTTCCACAAAGTGATCAACAACGGTCGTGCGAAACTGGTCTGGGAGGCGTGATCTTTTGGTTCCATGAGAATTGGTTAGACATGTTCTTGTTGTGACAGGTGGAGTACACAGCTGCACCACCCACAATTGTGTGTGCCAAGCCCAAGATTTACCTAGTAAGCAAGATTCACGTGCCAGCAAAAAGCTGGGTCAACTTGTCTGCAGCTGCACCGTGATGCTTACTTCAGATGAGAGTGTCAGCTTGTTGCCTAGTTGCTGGATATAGCTTTGGGCGCACTCTGCTTCAGGGTTGGGCCGCTCAGTGTTACATGTGAATAATTATACAGTTGGATCAATGAACGTTGACTTTCAACGGCCAAATCCTGAGCTCGCGAGTGGTTTTGAATGGCAGCTGGCAGTTCGAACTTCCATTCCAAAAGAGTTTTGTTGGACCTGAATGCAGTGACCTCCTGATTGTTTGTGTGTAAGGTTAGAATGCGCCGGCTTGGAACTGGTAGGTTTGGCCTTTGACCCGCCTATCTTAGACCGTTCGTCCTTTCGAAGGGAATCACCTGATCAAGCAAGGGCCCAATTGCTCCACAGAGAGTTGAACGCTTTGTCCAAACCATGCCCGTGATGATGGCGGTCTCTGGACTCAGTGGATCTGAGGCAGAGGCGACTTTGTTTTTTTGTTTGAATTTTATGTCTCATAGATTGTCATAGTCATTTCGTCATATTTCGTCCATTTGGCAAACAACATGGCAGGAGGCAGCTCCTGAGCAGACGCCAAAAGCGAAAGCTAAGCCGCAACCGAAAGGAAAACCAAAACCGAAAGCTAAGTTAGAGGCAAAAGCTAAGGGAGAGGCAAAAGCTAAGGCAGAGGCAAAACAGAAAGTCCTTCCAAAGAAGAAAACCAAGCCAGAAGAGAAAGCAGAGTCGAGCGCAGAGGTGGTGAAACCACAGGCTGAGACGCCTGCGGAAGGTTCAGATGCAGATCAGATTCTCAAGAAGCCGGCAGCGAAAGGCTTGAAACGGCCAGCCGCAGCCCACCCTGGAGGTGCACAAAACGTCCATCGCATGTCAGTGACATGTTTGTGTGGTGTTGTTTTCCTTTTGTGTGTGTGTTTTTATGCTTGGGTCTTTGCGCAGGAAACGTGACAAATCCGTTTCTGTACAAGACTGGCATTTGGGGCATCAAGCAAAATGGAAAACAAGTCCTGACAGCCACTTGTTTGTACTTATGTTTTGACTTTTGGTGAATTGGTGTCCTAAAGAAAGGTCAGTTTGTTTGGTTCCGAGGTGGGAGGAAAGTACAAGCACGTTGGCAAATGCAAGGAGATTGCAGACATTGCGGCGGATATGTTGCGTGAAGGCAAACCACTCGAGGAAGTTCGGTCTGCGGTTGTTACTCGGCTGATTCTGTGTGTGCTTCACCAACTTATTACCAAGCCACTTGAAGACTTTTTGGGGTGTGGCCCAATCTTGTTTGTATATCATATCAAATATTGTGTGATATCGTATCTATGTGTATATAGTAATATATGTAAATAGATTGAAATTTAGTGATATAGCTATTACTATGCATATCCCAAAAACACATACAATATAATGCGCATATATATATATACATATATTATACACCGTCGTTGACTATGTTTCCTAGTAGGTAGCCCAGCTCAGGATAGAAGAATGGGTGGCCCAAGCCGGCTTTTGCTGGTTAAGGCACCATATGCGCAAGAGATTGTGAAAGGTTCTAAGGTGTGGGAGTTGCGGTCCACGAATTCGCACTACCGAGAACGCATAGGGATCGCTTTAGCACACACTCAAACGGTGATTGGAGAAGTCAACCTGATCGATGTCATCCAGCTAGATGCCGATTCAGTGAAAGCCAATTTTAGCAAGCACCGGGTTCCTGCTGAAGTTTTGAAAGACTTTGTGCCTTCTGGTCGACGTGTGTTTGCATGGGTCATGGCCAACGCAAGTGAATACGCAGTGGCCAAGCCATACCAGCACCCCCTGGGTGCCATCGTCTGGGTGGATGTCGGACCAGAGACTTTGGCAACCGTTTCTTGACACACAGTGATCTTCAAACAGGGGATTGTTCATGAAGTCAAACAAGATGGTAATTACTGGCACTGGAACAAGCCTGTATTTTCCTTCCAAGTTTCAGCGCCCGCAGCAATCTTGAATAATTTTGATCAGAAATTACACGGAGACAGGTTCACAATTTTGTAGAACCAATTTTTAATTTCGAAGACTTGGTTTCGTTTTTTGGGAAGGAGTTTTCGCAATCAAACTGCTTCAACTTCAATCCGAGGCTGAGTTGGTGAAGACTGTTGGCCCTCGTGACCAGGGCGGGGGAGACGAGCCCGCAGCTGAAGCTCCCATGGCTGAAGAAGCTGTGATGTCTGAAGCCCCCGTGGCTGAAGAAGCTGCGGATCCGAACGAGTTTGCCAAAGGCGAATTCGAAGGTGAAGAGGAGGACCTGGCTGACAATGGAGACCAGGTTGTGGAAGACATTGACTGACGTGCGGCCTGTGAGGTGTGAAAAAAGTGTTGGGAATGTGATGTGACTTCGGTTCGAGTCGTGCCCAGCCGTTGGAAGACGCGATGTTCATAGTTTTACTGTTTTACTGCTCCTTCGGACTAACTGTGCATACTATTGCTTAAAACAAAACAACTGTGAAAACAATAACTAAAAAAAGGCCCCCCACACTGTAAATTACACAACAATGCCCACACAATCAGCATGAGACACAAACAACATGAAACACCACACAATAAACCAAAGGTGGCCTAAATAAACGTCTAAATAAACGTCAATGAATACAAAAACAAAAAGGTAAACACCGCATACAATACAAACATGTTATGATGAACCATGGGTCTGTGTTAGCGCTGCATCAAGCGATCAGTTCAAGCTTTGATGTTGAAAATGGACAGGCCTGAACTAACGACTCTACAGCCTTTTTTGTTCCTTCGAACTTTGATGTCATTACAGTATTGAAAATGGCCAGGCCCGAGTTGACAACACTACGGCCTGTTGCGTTCATTCGAAAGTGGGGTGTGGGGCGTGAAGTGGGGTGGGGCTACTGAACATCATAATAATAATAAGATGGAACTCACAACTTTAAAGTTCCTTGTTGTTTGTTTGCAAGTGGGGTGGCGGGAGAACGTAATATTGTTTTGATATGAAACATCATGGTTTGTATATGAGGCGAAGAGCAGCTTGAGCTCTTTGGGCCGGCCCCCCCAAAGCCCCAATGTGATGTGAAGGCTGTGGGAGGGAAAAAAAACCAACACCAAGGACCCCAGATTCTGAGGACCCAATTACTTTCAAGGACCCCATTGACAAGAAATTTTATTTATCCTTGAACGTGGCGTCGAAGAGAACATGGACCCAAACAATGTTGGCGCACACATAGAAAAGCGAGCGGCAAAATTGGGGCAAAATGCACCCACCCTGAGACAACGCAGCAAAGCATGTTTTATGCGCAGCAAAACTGTGAGGTTGGAAGGTCCAACCTACTGGATGGTGGTCAATTGTGAATTGAGGACCAGGTTCACTCCACCTTTGAACAAGAACCGGCAGATAAACGACAACGCGAAACAAGGCAGACCGAGAGTCCATGTGCAACATCCGGGATGGCTGTCGTCAGATGAACTCGACATTGCCTTGGAGGGGCCCCGTGCTATGAACCCGCAAACCTTGTTTCGCCCTCCTGCTTCGTGGAGTGTCGGGGCTTCGTATTTACACTTCTTCAACGACTATTTGCCCGACTATAGAGCTTACAACCAGGTCATCTGGATCATTGAAGTCAACCGGCATTGGGTTCAAGCAGAAGATTCCTCGAACTTTGCGTTCACTTTTCCTGCTGACAGCCACATCCTGCTGCAACCTTTGGTTGACCATCTTCTGACGACCACTGGGGCAAGGAGCGCTCAGATCTCTATCCACTTCTATGATCAGGCCAACCCGATGCACATGTGTGGGTATCAGCTTATTGCCAACATCTATCAACGACTCGCTGCCAACACTGTTCCATTACAACCGCCGCAGCGGAGACAATTGAGCTTCCATCCACTTGCTGATGAGCTTGATCGAGCGCATTTCGTGGCAAGAGCCATGTGGACCGCAGCTGCAGCTGATCCCCATCTCATCGATTTCTCTGCCAACATCAGGCAATGGTTTTTGGCGAGAGTTGCTGAGAACCGATTCCCGACTGAGACCATCTCAGCTGGGGCTGTTGATCAGGAAGATGTCAGCATGAAACCTGATGACACCGCAAAGTCGAAGGCCCCTGCCAAGGCTGCAACCAGCTCCTCGTCCGACGGCGAAGACCCATGGCTGAAGTCTGACCCGTGGCTCGAGGCAACACCAAGGCCTACGCAGGATCAAGTTCCTTTCACTGGAACTGATGGAGCTCCTCTTCCTCAGCACCATCGACTTCAAATTGGTGGAGCTCGAGGTGGCATCGTGTTTGCGACAAAAGCCCACCTCCAGCAAATCATCAAGACTCCTGGCTCCAATGATCTTGCGATTTTGATGCCCGCGAATGACAATGCGCCTGCTGCCAACGTGCGCAGCAAACTCGAGGGACCATTTGAAGTCTCTGTCGACGATTCGTCTGCAAAGATTTCATATAAACGCCTTGTCATGATGTTTGTCGTTCGTGTCTCCATTCAATACAAGTTGCCGGCGCCAATCGCAAAGCTTACCACTGGAGCGGTGTGTGAGGTCGTGCTTGAGATTGACGGAAGGCTCATCCAGAAGTCTGACCTTGAGAAGTACAAGGAAAATCCAATTGCCTCGTTCAAGGTTTTGCTCAGTGATGTGGTTCCCAAGCTTGACAGTTCAGCTGTCCTATTCGGATACCGAGTTGCCCACCACCCTGGTGGGAGCAAGCAAGATCCACTGTTACAGTGCATCCTGAAGGCACCACGTGCGGTCAGGACTCCATTGATTGAGGCCAGTGGCATGACTCCATTGCTGACAAGAGACTTTCTTAAGAAAGGCCGCAACAGCGATGACCTTACTGTGCTGCCTCGCTTCTGGCCACCAACAATCTCCGAGCTTGCCAACGCCCGCAAGACCGTCGAAGGCGCTGAGGGGCTTGCCGGATTGGTGCTTACGCGACGTGGCATCGCTCCTAGAGTTTGGGTTGCAAAGGTTGGCAACGCCAGGGCTCAGCTTATGTCTGAAGATCCGAGGGTGTTGCGCGAGAACATCGATGTTGTACCGAAATATACATTCTCCCTCGCTGGCTGGCCAGCGGCCACTGGAGCACAGCATGTGGTCACTTCGACCTTGCAAGCCTTGCGCCTGCCTGTTTTGCCGTTGCGTACGTACCGCTCTGCGGGAGTCCATGTTTGGATTGTGACAACCGACAAGAAGCCGACGGTTTCGTCCTTTCCATTGCAGATCAATGATACTGTCGTAGAGATTCTCATCCAGCAAGTTGAAACGTTGCTTCCCAAAAGCAACAAGCAAGGTGGCAAAGGAGGTCAGAAGGGTAAAACAAAATCCTCCAGCCCTGCCGACGCCGTCAAGCTATGGGCCCCGCCCAGTGCCATCACTCCTGTGCTTGCAAAGCCCGATGAAGCCAGGATCCAGCGGCTCGAGGAACGCTTCGACAAGATTGAAGCGCGACAAGCTACCTTTGAATCTCGTGTTGATGGCAAATTTGATTCCATCCAGGATGCTTTGCGGCAAATTCTTGCCAACACCAACGCCAGGGCTCGAGAGCCCACAGGCGAGACGCCGCCTTCGAAGCATTCCAACCAATGCTGAAGACATAGGGTGAGGCCTTGGACTTTGAGCCTGTTCGTTTGGTTCCTGTGTGATTGGAATTTCCTTGTCGGTCTTCTCTGTTGCCTGTTTCAGGTCCTCACCGTGTCTCTCAGCCTTCTCGCAAGGCATCTTCGGTGCCCTTGCTTTTGGGGTTCTCGCAATTGTACCAATTGCCTTCTTTCGTTCTCAGTCCGAAGGACGACATGTGCCTTCCTCATGATTGCTTATGTGTTAATGGATTTCCCTATGACCTTTGGCACTCCTGGCATGGGATTTCCGGGAGAGGGACCTTTTCAGCAGAACATGACCTTGGTTTCGGCGAATATTGGATCGGTGATGACTGATGTTACATGGAAGACTTGGAACGCCGATTTAATTTGCCCTCAAGAGACCCGCATTGGCAAGAACAATTTCCGGACTGATTTGAAGGGGTTGGTTTTACTCCCTGCTTTGGAGACCTTCTTCCTGGCCTTTGGCATGGTTCCAAGTCCACCAAAACCCCACCCGGAGGTACTCTGATTGCTGGTGGATCACCGTATGTTCATGAGTTTGATCCACAACAAGATGTCACGGGCCTGTATCAGCGCCTTTTCAAGACCAAGAGGGTGGTCGCGGCATGGTTTCAGGTTACCACTTGCAAGAGAGCCTTGATCATCTCAGTGTATGCCACGACCAGTGCATCCCAGGATCCTAAATCCATGCCTTGAGTAACGAGCTGTTTGATGACATCTTCACTTGTGTTTCACAGTTCGGTCAAATTCCAGTGGTAATTGCAGGTGACCTTCAGGCACCACCGATGACATACCCAGCCATCGCGACTGCAATTTCCTTCCAGTCGTGGCATGACCCTGTTGCCATTGTTGATGATTCTGGTGAAGTGGTCAGACCCCTTACTTTCAGTAATGATGGCTCATTTAGCGGTCCCGGCGATGGTTGTACCTCCATTGACTCTGTTCTTGTTAACGACATCGCATTCACTGCTCTTGTTCATGCTGAAGTCGTGGAAGCCTTTAGTAAACAACATAGACCGATTAAGCTTGTTTTTGATTGGCCCTCTATCAACCAGGTTGGGTTTCACCTTCTCAAATCTGCTCCGCTTGTTTTTGAACAGTCGGATGGTCAACCCAAGAATTCTGAGGTTTCTTGGGATGAAACACATAAGCTGCAGTATGATTGTGCCCAGACTGCTGAGCAAAAGTGGTCTATCATTAACAATTTCCTTACTTGTTCTTTGATCGCCAAAGTTGCTTCCTGGGGTGAAGGTCCCCAAACAAGAGGGCAGCCGCCCATTTTTGTGTCTAAGACTATTGCACCCAAGCAACTTTCGGGTCATTGTGCGGCAAGCCGAAAAGGTAACTTTCTTGCCAAGCTCTTGGGTCGACTCAACGAGCTGTTCATTCGACTCTCGCGAAATGAAGGCTCGGCTCAAGACACCTTCATCGCACAGAGAACTGCGCATAAAGCACTACAACAGCTGTCGGCTTTGTCCAGCCCCGTTGTGTGGAATGTGGATTCCATCCCTTCCCTCCTCCAAGTACACTTGGCAAAACAATGGGTTGTCAGCACCATTAAAGCACATGAGCTTCAGTTGAAGGTGTCTAGGATTAAATGCTGGAAAAATCGTATCAAGCATTCGGCCTCACATGGCGCTGTGCCTACATTTTCCATCACCTCAAAAGCAAACAACAGGAAGAGCCTGCCAACTTAGTGGTCGATCAGAATCAGAACATCATTTT